CTGCTGCCTGGCAACTGGGCACAGCCCCCCCCAAATCCCAGAGGTGCGGGCTTTTCCCGAGCTTGCAGCTGCATCAAGATGTGCAGAGCTGTGTGCACTGCGCCAGGGGCATCCGTGCCCCTGCTGCCGTGCTGTGCCCCTGCTCCATGCCCGCGTCGGGGGTGCAGTCCAGCCTGACCATGCCGAGCTGTGCTGGGTGCTGGCAGCCACCACCGTGCTCTCCACACTCTCTTTGTGGGTATGGCAGTGGCTGCAGGGAGCTGGAAGAGGCTTTTGAGGTGCATCTCTTGGGGGAGCTCAGGGGTGGGGATGTTCTCCGGGATAGTGTCAAACGTTGGCTGCTTTCTGTGTCTGGGAGCTGCACATCTGTGGGAGGCTGCTGGGGAGCAAGGTGTGGCCACCCCGGTGATCCCAGAGCCCCATTCCCTCCTGGCAGGCCGACATCGAGCAGCTGGACCCCCGAGGACGCACCCCACTGCATCTGGCCACCACACTGGGCCACCTCGAGTGTGCCAGGGTGCTGCTGAAGCATGGAGCCGACGTGGGCAAGGAGAACCGCAGTGGATGGACAGGTGAGCAGGTGGCTCATTGTTTCTGTCCTCCCTCAGGCGGCACAGGCACAGAAATGGGCATAGGGACGGACATGAGCACGGACATGGGCACAAGCACAGACACAGGCATGGTCATGCTCACCCTGGTGATGCAGCTCCCCACGGGACCGTTCACATGGTGGTCTGTGCCTGTGGCTCCTGTGCAGTGCCCAGCTCTGCAGTGCCATGTGTGCCGTGCCATGGCCCTGGGCACTGCCCCTCTGCCCCACAGTCCTGCAGGAGGCCGTGAGCACCCGTGACCTGGAGCTGGTGCAGCTGGTCCTGCGCTACCGCGACTACCAGAGAGCCATCAAGCGCCTGGCCGGGATCCCCGTCCTGCTGGAGAAGCTGCGCAAGGTACCTCCCTCCTCCTGCGGGGGCTGCGGGGGGGCTGCCAACCACAGGCTCCTCCTGACCCCTCTGTGTGCTCCGCAGGCCCAGGACTTCTACGTGGAGATGAAGTGGGAGTTCACCAGCTGGGGTGAGCTCAGGGCAGAGCGTGGCTGTGGGAGGAGCGGGAGTTTCCTGGCAGAGTCCCCCAGCCCTGGCACCCATCCCCATCCCCAGGTCAGGGGTTACCTGCCCCTTTAGCCCCAGACACCCCAAGTTTGCAGACCCCCATCCCGCCAAGGCGTTGGGTTCCTCCCGTGCATCCACCGCCCAGCTCAGCGCTGGCAGCCCACTCGGGGGTGCAGGTGGCCCCATCCCTGGCTGGGCTATTGGCATCTCTCCCCAGTGCCACTGGTGTCCAAGATCTGCCCCAGTGACACCTACAAGGTGTGGAAGAGCGGCCAGAACCTGCGGGTGGACACCACACTGCTGGGCTTCGACCATATGACCTGGCAGCGGGGCAACCGCAGCTTTGTCTTCCGGGGACAAGGTGAGGTGGCCCCAGGGTGTCCCCCCTGCCCTCAGCGGGGAGCGCTGGTAGAGTCTCGTGGTGCTGCAGCAGGGCCAGGTAGTGTGGTGGGGACTGTGGTTGTCCTGACCCTGCTCCCTGCAGACACCAGCGCGGTGGTGATGGAGATTGACCACGACCGGCGGGTGGTCTACTCGGAGACGCTGGCCCTGGCCGGCCACGACCAGGAGGTGCTGCTGGCTGCTGTGCAGCCCACGGAGGAGCAGGTGATGGGGCGGCTGACGGCCCCCGTTGTCACCACTCAGCTCGACACCAAGAATATCGCCTTCGAGAGGTGGGCAGGCGTGGCACCGAGCCCACCCCCAGGGGTGTGGAGCACCCTGGGCTGTCCAAGCAAGCCCATCCATTGCTCACGGTGCTGTGTTGCTCCAGGAACAAGTCCGGGATCCTGGGCTGGAGGAGCGAGAAGACAGAAATGGTGAATGGGTACGAGGCCAAGGTGAGGGGCAGTGGGGGTTGAGCCACCCAGAGGGGTATGGCCAGTTGCAGGTGGGGGTTACCCACCTCTGCCATTCCCCTCCTCGTCCAGGTCTATGGCGCATCCAACGTGGAGCTGATCACGCGGACGCGGACTGAGCATCTCTCGGACCAGCACAAGGGCAAGAGCAAAGGTGCAGCTGGCACGGGCTGGGTAGGCAGGGCACCCCCGGCTCTGCCCTCACCCCCTCCTCTCCCGCAGGCTGTAAGACCCCCCTGCAATCCTTCCTGGGCATCGCCGAGCAGCACGTGGGGCCCAACAACGGGGTGAGTGTCCCGGAGGTCTGGGAGGTGGCCCTGCAGTCAGACCTCCCCCCTCACCCCACCGGGCTGTCCCCCCACGCAGACACTGATCACGCAGACGCTGAGCCACGCCAACCCCACCGCCATCACCCCTGAGGAGTATTTCAACCCCAACTTCGAGCTGGGCAACCGGGACATGGGACGGCCCATGGAGCTCACCACCAAGACACAGAAGTAAGAGGGGAAGGAGCAGATGGGGACCCCCTTGTGTCCCCACCCCCAGGGAGACAGGCAGGGGTCTGCAGCCCAACGCCTGTGCCCGTCAGGTTCAAGGCGAAGCTGTGGCTGTGCGAGGACCACCCACTGTCCCTCTGCGAGCAGGTTGCCCCCATCATCGACCTCATGGCAATAAGCAACGCGCTCTTCGCCAAACTGCGGGACTTCATCACCCTGCGCCTCCCGCCCGGCTTCCCCGTCAAGATCGGTATGGGGGGGGCTCTGCTGCCGGCCCAGCTGGCACAGCCAGCTTCCCTCCCTGCTTTTTTTTCTTCCCCTTCCTGCAGAAATCCCCATCTTCCATATCCTCAACGCCCGCATCACCTTCGGCAACCTCAACGGGTGTGACGAGCCCGTCAGTTCCCTGCGGCACAGCCCCAGCAGCGAGGCGCCCTCACCCAGCAGCGACTCCTCCAGCGTCAGCAGCTCCAGCTCCCTCAGTATGTGGGGTGGGAGGGAGGGGCCCAGCAGGATGGGGCAGACGTGGTTGGTGAGGCGGGGTGGGAATGGGTCCCAGCGGGATCAGGGGGACACAGCTGGTTGAGAGGGAAGAGGTCCCAGTGAGATGAGGGGAACACGGCTGGTGGGGCAGGGGTGGGTCACAGCAGGGTGAGAGACACATGACTACTGGGGTGGGAGGAGGTCCCTTGGAATCCCCAGCCATGCCAGCTCCTGTCTCCCCACAGCCTCATGCCGAGCGTGCGAGATGGACCCGGCGCTGTTCGAGGTGCCGCGGGGGTACAGCGTGGTGGGCACCCACCAGGATGCCCTGAGGGAAGATGAGGATGACCTGCTACAGTTTGCCATCCAGCAGAGCCTGCTGGAAGCCGGCAGCGAGTACGACCAGGTGGGCACTGCCACCCCCCTGCCTCCTCCTGCCCGCCTTGGCTGGGGGATTCTGCTGCTCATCCCATCCTGGTGTTTCCCAGGGTGTTCACCCCACATTTCCGCATTGCTGGTGGTGGGATCAGAGCTCACGCTAGGGGGTTGGGTTTTGGGGTGCCACTCTCCCAAGCGCCCCTTTACCACCGACCACAGGTGACCATTTGGGAAGCACTGACCAACAGCAAGCCGGGCACCCACCCCATGTCACACGAAGGCCGCCGGGGAGACAGGTTGGTAAGGTCTGGCCAGTCCCCCTGGGGGGAGTGGGAGCGGGTGCCAGCTCCACAGGGATCCTCGCTGAGCTCCTGCCACCCCCCAGGACTCCCCAGCACACGGCGGCCCCCCGGCCCCCCGTCGCCCCGTCCCCAGGGGGGGGCAGGGGGCCCAGCGCCCTGTTCCCCAGCTACGCAGAGCAGCTGCGTCTGGCCATGGCCCTGTCGGCGCGGGAGCAGGAGGAAGCGGAGCGCCGGACGCGGCAGGAGGAGGAGGATCTGCAACGGATCCTGCAGCTCTCGCTGACGGAGAAGTGACCCCGCGCCCCCACTGAGCCCCTCACCCGCCCCAGTGGGGATGGGGACACGGCCAGTGCCGTGTCTGGGGGCACAGAGGGGGAGCGGGATGGGGGGAGCCAGTCCGAGAACTGTGGAGGGCAAATGGGGAGGCAGGGCATGATTTGGCCCTGGTATGGGGGAGAATGTTGCCAGAGCCGGGGCAGCACGGGGTGGGGTGGGGGCACCCCACAGCAGGACAGGTTGGGGGTGGGTGTCAACCCCGCACCTGGGGTGGCAGGAACCAGGGAGGGCAACTGCACAGACTGTACCCCCTCCCCGGGACAGCCCTGGCCCCCCACAACTGCCCTATGGGGTGCTGCTCAGCGCCTCACCGCAGGAAGGTGGTGGGGGCACATCCAGATGGGTGGGCTGCCAGTTGCGTGGGGTTCCGGGGTGCCCCCAGAGCCAGGGGGCTCTGCCCAGTCCCCTCTTCCGCCCCTTGCCCAGGCGCTACCAAGTGCACTTACCCGGGAGCTGCTCTGCCTGCCAGGGGCTGGGGGGGGCTCAGCCCCATTGCACCCCATAGCCAGTGTGGGGCTGCACAGCCACCCCCCACTACAGTGCGGGGGGTCTGCTGGGGCAGCTGAGGGGGCGCCTGTGAGAGGCCGCCCGGTGTCACCCCCCTTACCCCCTGCTCACACCCCTCCACCCTGCTCGGATGTCCCCCCTTGGCAGCGCTGCACCCCCTCGTCCCGGGCACTGACCCCGAGAGAAACCTTACGTCAAATGGTGCTAACCCCGGCCCCCTGCCCCGGCTGCTCCTCCTTTGCACACAGGGGGCTGGGGGCTGCGGGGTGGGGGGCTGGGCTCGCTCCCCTGGGACTTTTCATAGCCGGCGCCCCCCACCCACCCACGCACCCCACAGCAACATCTGGGCCAGGGCCGGGGGAGCCCGAGCAGCTCCGACCGCGGCCAACACCAATAAATGCTCTTTAATGTTTGTCTCTCTTGGCCTCCCTCCGCCTGTGCAAGGGGTGTGTGGGCAGCAGGTGCTGGCAATGGGGTGCAGGCAGGACCCTCTGTCCTGGTGGTCCCTCGTCCCCAGTACCTGCCACGTGGCCAAGGGTGGCTGAGCCCTTTATTAAAGGGGTTGAGGAGCAAAGAGCTGGTTGGGAGCACTTGCCCAGGGGTTGATGGGGCAGGGGGAGGTGAGGGGGTGATGGGGTGGGGGTGTAGCACCGTACCCAAGCACATCCTGGCCAGGAGGGCCTGGCACCTCCCCGTCCTGGGAGGATGCTGGTGCCCAGCCTGCAGGTCCCCAAAGAAGGATGCTTGGCAGCCCCAGCCTGCAGGCACTGAAGCGGGACCCCCTTGGGTGCTGCAGTGGGGTGCCCATATGCTGGGGCACCCCAGGAGCAAGATGCAACTTATGCCAGTGGAGGTGGGGGTCAGGGTCCGACCCCCTCCCTGCCCCTTCAGCTCCTGGGGAAAGAACATGGCTCTGGGCTCCTGCCCAATGTGGGGACTCGGCTTTAATCCCCGGCAGGCCGGGGCAGTCCTTGCCCTGCCCGTGGCCTTGGCCACCGCGCTAGTCCGTGCCGTTGGTGAACTGGCAGAGTTTGTTCTCCAGGTCGGAGATGCGCTTCTCCTGTGCTTGGACCATCTCCTTCAGGGCACGGATCTCCTCCAACACCTCCTCCAAGGCTGGCTGCTGCAGGGAGGGGAGACACAGGGTCACCAAGGAGTCCCCTCTGGCCCCTCCAACCCACCCTGGAGAGGGGGACAGCCCTGCTGCCATGTCCCTGTCCTCAGGGCACTCACAGAGAAGTCAGAGTCGCAGGTGGAGTGGCTGCGGCGGGGGCCTGGGGGAGGTTTGCTGTCCAGGATGTTCTTCTTGACCACCTTCAGCTCCCGGTTCTTGATGGGGACGTACCCGTCCCGCAGCGAGATGAGGATGGGCTCTGCATCCTTCCCCGACAGCCACTCATCTGCCTCCAGGGCTGGCTCAGGGCCTGGTGTGTCAGGGTACAGGTCATCCTGGAAGAGGTCTGACTGCAGGAGGGAGAGACCAGAGTGAGACATGGGGTATCCCCCCCCAGACCTCCCATCTCCCCTGGGCCCCCCCGGAGCTCACCTTGCGTGGCACCGTCATGACGATGGGCTCACACTTGCGCTCATGGAGCTTGAAGAACCTGAGTGGGGCAGAGGCAGTCAGGGTCCAGCTGACCCCCCGACCCCTCTGGCTCCCCCCGGGCCCCCTTGCTCTCACCTGGCAATCTCGCACTTGCTGACATCCAGCCCACGCTTGGGCATGAAGCCCATGCCCCGCTGGGGCTCCTTGCTGCTGTAGGTGTTCAGGTAGTGCACATAGGGTGCCTCGTCCGTGATCTCAAAGTACCGGATGCTGCTGTCACCCTGCGGGTGTGGGGATGGGTGTCAGCCAGCCCCCCCGGGGGTGGGGTGGTATGGAGGTGCACCCTGGGTGGGGGGTTACCTTCCCGCAGAGGTAGACAATGCTGGAGTCGGCGTCGTAGAAGGGTAGCAGGACCCCGTTGCTCGTGTCCATCTCCTGCAGGGCGATGGGCTCCTCAAAGTTATTCTGCAGGGCCGCAGTGGTGGAGGGGTGTGAGCGGTGGCCACAAAACCCCCACCCTGGTTAGTCACACACATTAGCCACGGCACACTGGGGGACAGGGCTTGTCCCCCTCCCTGGGGTACACAACCCCTGGGCAGGCAGCTTGGCATGCCCCCCCCAGACCCTCGCCCCACTCCTGTTTACCTGCATGGCTGGGTACCCCCCAGCCTGGCTGTACCCGCCTCCCCCAGCACTCCCCGCCTCCCAGCCCCCTCCCCACCCCAGCACAGCACGGCACACTTGGGAACTTGGCATCTTTTGGAGGGGGGATGCTGCAGGCACCCCATCTTGGGGTGGGGGAGGGTGGCAGGGGGTCGGGGGGGCCAAGTTCCCGGGGCAGCACTCCATGCGGCCTCGTTACCGGGTCCCACAAGCCCAGCTCCCGCTGGCTCATTCTGGTAAAGCCCGTGGTAAAGATGTGTCCTTCCCGTGTGAAGATGGCCCGCACGGGCCTCAGCCCTTCGTGGGGGGCAAACCTCTCCTGGGGGGGAGGGAGGACAGTCAGCACGGGGCATGGGAAGGGGAGAAAAATGGAGGGGGTCCGGATCTGTCCCCTAAAACAGCTGTTGAGTCCTACTCCAGGGGAGCACACGATGCTCCCGGGGTACACGCGCGGCCGGGGAGTATCCCCGGCACCCAAAGCATTCCTGGCTGGGCTGAGCTCTGCAAGGTCGGTGCTGGCTGGGCGGGAGCCGCCGTCTCGTACCAGGTCCCAGAGGCCCAGCTGCCGCTCACTCATCTTGCTGAAGCCAGTGGTGAAGATCTTGCCATCGGCCACGAAGATGGCGCGGATGGGGCGGGTGCCGTCGTGCGGTTTGGTTTTCTCCTGCGCCGGCGTTAGCGGGTTAAACCAAACACAGAGACGCGCGGTGCGGGGGTTAGTAGGGTCAGGCAGGCACTGGGGGGACCCCGCGGCGGGCTGGGGGGGACACAGCAGGGGGACTCACCGCTATGATCTGCTGCTTGCGGGGGTCGATGACACGGACCTTCTTGTCCTTGCAGGTGGTGACGAGGAGGCTGCCGTTGCGGTTCCAGCCCACGTTGTAGATGAGGTCAGTGTGCATGTCATCCAGCGCCAGCAGCATCTCCCCCGTCCCCACGTTCCAGAGGATCACCAGGTTGTCACAGCCTGCAGAGGACCGAGGGGGCAGGTGCTGTCACCCCAGGAATCCCCTCTGACCCCGGGGAGGGCAACCCGGGACCCCCTTACCTGCGCTGAGCAGGACGTTGCGGGCGGTGGGGTGCCAGGAGATGATGCTCACCCGCTTGGAGTGTCCCTCCAGCGTCACCACTGGCTCCGTGATGTTGCGCACGGGGACATAGTCAGGGATCTGCCACACCTGGGGGAGGGACAGAGAGCGGGATATTGGGGATCACCCCGCATGTGAGGGCTAAGCGGATGAGAGCCTCGGAGCCAATTAACCTCATCGTTAATCTCGGCTCAGCCTGCAGGGAGGGTGGCGAGGGGACTCCAGAAGCGCCTCCATCCTGGGGTGCATCCCCAGCACTCGGGGTGCTGGTGGGCACAGGGCGGGGGGCATGGCCAGGGCGCAGCCCCCAGCCCCCCCCAGCTATTCCTGGGTGCTGAGTCGCCAGGGCGGGTATATTTAGCACAAACTGCTGCATCATGGAGCGAGCAGCCGCCGCCAGCGCGAACGCATGGCACCGGGGCTAAAAATAGGCCAGTGACACTCCGCAGGCAGCAAAGGGGGGGGAGTGTTCTGCACCGCTCCCCCAGCGCCTGCTGCCCCCCCCCCCACTCGGGGTCCAGCCCCTCACCATGACGGTGGTGTCCTCCGAGGCACTGGCGATGACGTTGTCGTTGTGGGGACACCAGTCGATGTCCAGCACAGGCGCCGTGTGTCCCGTCACCAGCGGGTGGTTCTTGTCCACCCGTCCTGTCTGCAACGTTGAGGTGTCAGAATGAATCTCCAGAGGCTGGGGGCAATCCTGCCAGGTGCCCTGGGAAGCCAAGCCCAGCCCAGCCAGGGTTTGTGGCACAAGTGGGGACGTGCAGGGGATCCCTGGCGGTGGCCAGAGATTTGCACCTGCCTTGAAAGGGGGAAACCGAGGCACGGAGGGGGAACAGGGTTCACTTGGTGTGCAGCCCCATAGGAACACAGAGGGGAACAATGTGCCCCTGAGAGACTGGTGTGTGTCCCTTCTTATGGCATGGAGGGGCTGGGGACCCCCCTTCCAGTCTCTCAGCCAGGGTTGGCAGGGCAGACCCCATCCCCCTGGGTGCTGCTCCATGGGCATCGTGTGTCTCTGAGGAATTGGGGAGAAAGCACCTGGGGATTTCCCACATCACCTCAGTTACCCCTGGGATGTTACTTTTCACAGGTGCTGATGATCAGCCAGGCTGTTCTTGCCCTGAGCCCTCATGTGAGGAGGGGGTGTTGGGGGAAAAGCTGGGGGGCTCTGGGGTCACCCAAAAGCAACACCCATCATGCAACCCCCCCAGAAGCAACACCCCACCAGCATGTCCCCCGGGGAGGCAGCCAGACCTCAGCATCCTCCCCACTCACCTTGGCAAGGGGCAGGACAATGAAGGCTCCCCCGCCGCCAGACTCCACAATGATGGCCACAAACTTGGGGTTGACGGCGCAGAAGGAGCTGTCACATGTCACCTTGGAGACACGGATGTCCTCGTACATCTGGTCGGCCTTCACCGGCTGCCCGAAGACGTGGCGGAACTTGCTCTGGCGCACCACGCGGCGGCTCATGGCTGGGGGGCACAGGGTCAGGCCACCACCTCCCCACTCTGGCACAGCATGGAGGGGTTTTGATCCCCTCAGACCTCGTGCTCCGAGTTACACCCTCTGCCCTGGGCACAGTGGGAAGCCTGGGAACACCGAGGTGGCCGGGGGTGAGGATGCAGGATGGTGCCTGATGTGGCCCCGACCCCACGGCAAGGACTGGAGGCAGCCCTTGTGCAGGGATGTGGGGAGGTGCTGCTGGTGCTGAGGGTGGGCAGCTGATGGCCAAAGCCACTTAAAGCTGAGCAGGGACACAGCTGTGCCATGATGTGCAGGTGTGCCATGTGCCACTGCATGCCATGTGCCACGGCTGTGCCATAACCCACATCTGTGCATTAACCCACAGCTGTGCAATGCTCCACAGCTCTGCCATACCCCACAGCTGTGTCATGCCCCATGGCTGTGCCGCATCCCTCACCTGTGCTGTGCCCTGGGGCTGGCACTGGGTTTGGCACATGAGCAGCTGCAGTACAGAAGCAGGGCTGAGAGGACTTTGTGGCGGACCTGTGACCATGCACCAACTCACAGCTTGTCCCCTTGTATCCCATCCTGCGCCAGTGAGGCTGCCTGGCCTGACCCAGCACCCAGGAGGGAGGCTGTGCCTCCAGTGTTGCCTGCTGGTGGCTCATGCGTCCCTCCATGGCCCCTGTCCCACAGATCCACATGTGCCACCCACTCTGCACCCCCACCTGGGCAAGGGCTGGACCTGGCATAGCCACACAGCCCCTGGGTACACCGGGGCGTGGAGGAGCCCCCATTCTCAGCATGGCTCTGGTGGGGTCTCCAGCCCTCAGCCACAGCCAGGCACACTGCCCATAGTCACCCATCCCTCTCCACAGCTCTGCTGCTCCAGGGACCTTCCCAGGGTGGGCACTGAGACACTCAGGATCCTGAAACCACTGGAGCTGGGGCTGTGCAGCACTCGCCACTGGCTGCCCTGGGGACTGCCCTGGTTCTTTTGGGTCCACAGCCATTGCCAGAGGCCACATCTGGCCACCAAAATGCAGCCGGAGGGCCAGGTACCGCTGTTCCCAGCCCGCGGGGCCGGTGTGGGCAGAGGCAGGAGCAGATCTGCTCCTCCTTGTTCCAGGAGGTAGCTTTTGGATAGGGCACATGCAGCTCCCAGCCAAGCTACATCTGCCCAGTCCCTGGGTGTTCCCGGAGTCCTCATGGCACTTCAGCATCATGCCTGGCCCAGCTGAACGGGTTGGAGCTGGGTGCTAAGGGGCCCGGAGCCCAGCTACCAAGGGAGGCTGGACACCGGCACCGCTGGTGTCACCCCCATGGTCCTGAGCACGGTCTCCGGCCCTGGGGAGGAGCTCTCCGGGGATTTTGCAGCACATCAACCGTTGCCAGTGGGAGCAGAGTTTGGGGTGTCAGCACGCAGGCTAAGGGGGGCCAGCCTGGCTGGCAGGGGAGGGTGCAGGCAGGGTGTGGGGTGCAGGTGAGGGGCGGATGTGGAGCAGGCAGAGTTGAGCAGGGTGCCAGCAGCGTGTAGGGTGCAGGCTGGGTTGGGTGGGGTGCAGGTGGGGTACAGGCAGGGGCCAGGCGAGGAGCTGTCAGGGTGCAGGCAGAGCTGAATGGGGTGCAGGTGGGGTGCAGGCAGGGTGCTAGTAGGCTGCAGGCATGAGAATTGGGTGGGGTGCAGGCAGGGTGCGGGTGGGGTTGGATGGGGTGCTGGCAGAGAGAGATGGGGTGCAGGTGGGGTGCAGGCAGCATGAAAGTGGGGTCAGGCGGGCTACGGGTGGGGTGCAGGCGGCGTGCAGGCAGGATACAGGCAGGGTGCAGGCAGGATACAGGCAGGACAGCCCCGCTCCCCGCTCCCGGCCGTGCCATTACGTTGCCACAATTGAATCCGCAGCGGCTGCTCGGGAACGACCAGAGGTCACTGTCCAAATATAGCCATCTCCGCCGGCGGGCGGCGAGGGGCCGGGGCCCGGGGGGCTCAGCCCCGCTCCCCGCGCCCCCCCCCCCCCCCCCCCCGCGGCCCCCCCCCCCCCCCCCCGCCCGGCTCCCACCTGCGCTCGGCGGCTCCTCCGCGCCCGGGCGCGCCCGGCTCCGCTCCGCGCCCCGCTCGGCTCCGCTCCGCCCGCTCCGGTCCCGCTCAGCCCCGCTCCGCTCCCCCCGGCCCGGCCCGGCCCCGCTCGGCTCCGCTCCGCCCGGCTGGGCTCGGCTCGGCTGGGCTCGGCTCGGCCCCGCGCGGTGCCGCTGCCGCAGAGAACAGCTGAGCCGAGCCGGGCGCGGGGCCGGCACAGCCCCCCCGCGGCGGGCACCGGAGGGGAGGGGAGGGGGGGGCCCGGCCCGGCCCCGCCTGCCCCCGCACCCTGCCCGGCCCCCCGCTCTGCCCGCGGGGATGGGGGCAGCCCCCGCACAGCCACCCCACACTCCCGCCCCAAAAGCGGGGGGGACCGAGGGTGCCCGCAGACCCCCCGGCGCGGTGCGTGGGAGCCCCTCTGCCCAGCGCTGCGGGGGTCTGGTGGGGCAGGAGAAGCCCCCTGAGTCTTCCTAAAGCACTGGGGGAAAACGAGGGGAGGGTCAGCTTCGACAGCCCCAGGCTGCCAAAACCCCGGGGGTCACCTCTGCCCAGGGCTGTGACCCTGCCATGGGTCCCCCCAAACCCCGGAGCCAGCCCAGCCCCACAGGGACCATGACCATGGGCTGCCCCTGGGGCTCCCAACACCCACGGCACCCATAACGTCCCCACCTCCCCCAGGAGAAAGGGATCTGCAAACCCACGGAGTGAGCCCACGTCAGCCCCAGCCCAGGACAGCAGGATGGTTGTACAGGCACATCCAGAAGCCAGATTTGGGATTTAGTGAAGCTCAGCCCCGGAGGGATGCCCTGGCCCAAGGGGATTAAGGGATTGCAGGGCTCAGGGACCAGAGGGAGGGGAGCGGTGGTTCCTGGAAAGGCAGCAAAGCCCTGGACCCTACAAGGGCACCATGTGGAGCTGGACGAGCATTGGCTGAGTGGGCAGGAGGGGGCAGCTGGCAAAAAGGCAGGGAAAACGTGACATCCTTGTTCACCCGGCCAAAGGGGTGGCAGAGAGGGATGGAGGTGCAGAGGCACCCCTTGCCTGCCCCACCCCACCGTGGCCCTGGCTCATTCTGCCTTTGGGGATGGAGTGAGCCCTGTGTCCCCAGCTCCAAGCCACATCCTCAGCAACTGGAGAAAAGGCCATGGGAAGCCTTTCCCCAGCTGGTGCTGCAGGGAGCGGGAAGGAATTGGGCACCCTGGAGACACTGCCCGCCCTATAGCAATGGCCCTGCACCCCTGGCCCCACACCCTGATGCCCTGGCCCAGTGGGAAGCTTCCTGGAAGACAAGGCTGATCTCGAGGGATTTGGCACTCTCAGTATTCCCTTGCTCACAGCAAGGGCAGTGGGAGCCCACAGAGACCCTTGTGCCACTTTCTTACCACAATGGGACAGAACCATGGTGCAAAACCAACTCACCCAAGATGGGCTGTTTCCCAATGCAAAGATCCACTCATGCCGTGGTTATTTGGTGCTTGGATTGGGCTCAGCTCCTTGGCTGACCATGATGGGTCTGGTTCGGCGTCTGGCTAAAACCTCACATCCCCCTTGGAGCTTAAACCCCAGGACCCTCCCCACAGCTCTGCCTGCAGCAGTGCAGGGAGGTCACCCACAGCATCCCAACAGCTTTACACACACAACCCCCGGCACCTGTCCTGCAACTGCAGCAGGATCTGGAGGTACATCTTGCTTGGAAGCACGGCTCCATCACTTGGGACAGGACAGACCCGTCCTCCCTTCTGTCAGGGGATGTAAGTGAACAACCCCACTCTGGCTCCCCAGATTCCCACCGCTGCCCTGTGCTTCGAGAGCACCACAGATCACTCCTCACCCCCAGCCCTGAGCCCCCCGAACAAGGCCACACGCCCACGTCATCTTCAAAATAAAGTTTTATTCATTCGGTAACAATAACATTGAATCTGCACATCAGTGCACAAGTTCACATTTAAAAACAGCTGAGCACATCGGTCATAGAGTCTTTAGGGGAAAAGGGGACGATCCCAGCCACCAAGGAAGATCCAGGAGGGGCAGACAGAAGCACTCCCCTCCCTGGTTTGCAACCCCACCGCCAGCTGCCCGGCCCTGGGCAATCCCTACAAACCAGCGCACGGACATCACATCTCCATAAAGGAAAATAAAAGGCACTGGCACCTTCTCTTGTGCCAACAGAGATGTCTGCAGCATGGGCTGGCAGCACCTCTGGCGGCACTGCCGGACCCTCCTGCGCCAGGCCAGAGCCTCTGCCCCGCGCCAGCAAGGGCTTGGGGGTCCCTCCCTTAGGGAGAAGTGGGGGGGCCTTGCGTGGAGCCAGGACCAGATTAAGGCAGGATGCACCGTGCGGGGAGCAGGGACCTGCAGTGGGTATGGCTTCCTCCTGCCAGCGGGCCAGGAGAGCTGTGAGGCTCTTGGAGCCCCCCGGGCAGGTGCAGTGCACCGGTGCCCACGGATTCCAGGCAGCTCACTCCTTCCAGGAGGTCCCCGGAGCAGCTGGAGCTGGGGCGGGTTCCCTTCCACCAGGCCTTTGCTGGCAGAGGGACACGGAGCTAATCCCTGCTCCGTTCAACATCCAAGTGACCCCAAAGCGGCATCACCTCCTGCCACCTGCTGGGACCGTGCCCCAGGAAAGGGCCAAAGGGGGGGAGATTTGTACATGTCACAACTTCTCAAGCAGACCAGACACACACACACACACACACCACCGAGTGCAACAGAACGCAGTGTAGAACCAGTTTCACGCACACGCAGTCCGTTTGTGCAAGGCTCACACGTTACAGTACGGCCGAGACGGGAGGCGATGGCTGGGATATTGTACAGGAGTCAATGTAAACAATAAAGCGTCCTCCGAGAGGCTTCGCAAGAGACCAAAGAACAGTTGCTTTGTACAAAAATGCCCTTAAAACACGTTTTCTCCTAAAACCCCTCCAACCGCGAGGC